CCGCGAATTCTTCGCGTACTCCTCCTAAGATAAGACCACCGGGCCGGCGAGCCGAACTGGAACCTCCTCCTCAGCCCGACGATAGAGATAGGTAGCCATGGGCGAAGAGAGTGGGCTACACCGCGAAAAAGTCTACCCAGAACTGTAGTTGTAAACACAAATGTTACAATAAACGTTAAGGAGAGCAGAATCTGTAACATATTTATAAACAATCAAAAAATAGTTTTGTATTTTATTTTTAATATAATATTTATCATAGATATAACGCCATGATAATAAGCAAACAAAAGATATTAGTAAACCAATCGTCAATTATCTTAAAAAAATATTCTTAAGGGTACTCTCTGTAGTTTCCATAAATTGTAAATATTTTAAAATGTTAAAAAAACAAAATTGTATCGCCTTTAATGATTTCAAAATTATAAAATATAATTTTAAAAAAATTGTATTAATTATTTAGTCACAAATGTACTTTTAATTGTACCTTTTAATTTATATTTATTTGTTATTCATTTTAAGTCGGATATTCGTCTTAACTTGGATAAGCACTGTTGGGTGAGCACTGTTTAAAATTTATCTTCGTTTGTTATTATTGATAAATTAAATATTAGTATAAATATTTTAATTTTGCTGAATTTATCATCCTTTATACAAATATTTACTAAATGGTTATTTCTCTCAGTGCACACCCGAAGCAAAACTGATAAGAGACGAAGGCGACTGGAAGTCGTCTGGATTTAGGAAGATAAGGTGCGATTCGGGGGATCGGATGGAGGGCTACTGAGATGATCTGGGTTGTAATTAGAGCGAATACGAAAAAAATTAACAGGTGTGCGAGGGGGAGGGGCTGCAGAGCGAGGGAGAGGGCCTGAATCACACTGTGTGACGTCGCATATTGCTGCTGTGTTTTTGATGTTGCTGCTGTGATATTGCTGCTGCTGCTCGATGTTGTTGCTGGTTTTCCGACTTTCGGTTTTATGATCTTTGCGATAGCGAAACAACAGATTTATGTTTTGATTTTTTTTGCCGCCCCTACAAGGCAATTTCAGAACTGTGTTATTTATGTTGTTTTAGATAACGTTGTTTGTATTCACGTTTTTACTTCATTTCCGATCTGCCGTTTTTCGGCTTTAGATTTGAACATTCATACTTTTCTCCCGCTCGTATTGCTATCTCTCTTGCGCTCCGTATCGCTCTCTCTTTCGCACTGTCGCACAGCTCGGTTGTTGACGGTTTCGGTGTATAACGTTAACTGAAAGTGTAAGATAATATTCTGGCCCCATATATAGAGAGAGCGCTACGAGAACTGGCCGTCTATATGGTGGAATGCAATAGTAATATCGCACAGACGAACACAATTATAAATGCTTTCTGCTCGTCTTTCTACTGTTATTGTTTTTGGTCTAGATGTTGCTGCTTTTATTGTCATTAGCTGTCGAGTGTAAATTTGTAGATTTTATAGAGTGGTTAAGTCTGTTGATAGCTCGGATGCGGTTTTTATGAAGACTTGATTTGGAGTTCTGAAAATATGGTATATCCCCTCTGTGTATTTGGTATTTATTGGGTTTACTTAAAGAATAATTAGAATCAATAATGCAACAATTCTTACGCAGACCAGCCTTATAAGCCTTATCTGGGTGAAATCTACAATTACGTAAACTCCGGCCATATAAGAAGGTGAATGAATGGCTTGATTTCATAATTCCAGATATGATTTGCTGATACGAGATAAGCCGATTAAACAAATCCGGTTTGATTGCACAGTTCAGGTGTACGTATTCTCTTCAAAGAGAAGAAAAGTATAACTTATAATCCACAGCATTTCTGACTTTTGCATTTGCAAATTCCACACTTCCCCTGAAAAGTTCGTTTTGCCATATTAAATTCATTTGTAAACGAATGAAAGCATTAGCAGCTGTTTAATTATCTACAAACTGATTAGAAACATTGTTAAACCAAACCCAATTTTTATTAAGTTTATTATCACGTGTCTATTACTCACTGTATTCGATTGTATGCCTTATAGGTACTTCAATGTATAAAGTTTCATTTCCAACTGAATCATAATCTTGACATTGATGATTTAATGGGATTATTTTTGTATTGTTAATGCTTAAAAATTATAAGAACTAGAAAACTCAGAATTTAGAACTCTATTTTAGAAAACTTTCTTAACCAGATTGTGATAATCATTAACTTCAGAATACCGATTTACTCTATATAAGCTTTGCTTTTTATAGGTTGCTTCGAATTACTGAAGGACTTGATATTAGCCGAGTCGACATGACCAAATAAATGCTGATAAGATACTCGAAATGCTCTTCACACTTTAACCGTTGGAGTGGGAAAAAATCACAGCCCTGCCGCTATGGCCACACAGAATGTGTGCTGGGGTATTAACATTTTACTGCACCTTCTTGATGCCGCCAGACAGACATATATCCGCATATATATGCTTAGTATAGGTGGCAAGGAGCTGGAGGAGTACGAGAAACAGGAGCAGACTCCATCACATGTGCGGGCCAGAGCGTGTGGCAAATTGGCCTTTGTGGGTTGTCTGCTGGCCTGGCGGCAAATATAAATGATCTAATTTAAATAATTACGCCCACAAAATGTGACGCGCCTACCAAATTGCCTTCGTTTAATGCTCGAGTGGGAAAATTACCCCAGCCAAGCCGAAGACTAGAACTAATTTCAAAGTTGGCTTTGCTTATGGCCTCACAAAGTGTTTCCCATTCCCATTCCCATTCACATTTCCATTTCCATTGCCATTGCCAAGTCGATTTCCGAGCCGTTCGGTAATATTAAAGTTTTCCAATTGACAATTTTCGGGTATGACTGTCTCATACACCGCTGAGGTAGCAACATGCAGCCATTTTGGCTGTTTCTGGAAGCTTTTGATGAGGTGAGACTTCTTTGATTAGGCTATAGTGTCTAAATATCTGACAAATCCACAGATGGCGCGCGAGTATATACAAGATTATATGGGTAGATCTTCTGGCATTTCTGTGCTGCTACTACTTGATGGCTGTAATCTACCGCTATGCTCTAAGGGATGTCGATAAACCGTGAGTAGATCTGTAATTTCTATATAAAGTAAGGTGATCCCATTTTTTTACTCAGCTAAGAATATATTACTAATAACATACTTGAATTACTAATAATTTTGCAATTCCTTATATAAATTAAAAAATTTAAAAATAAATTTGGGTTTAAATATTTTTAACTATGTTATCAATATATATATTTTGACTTGTGTGGCTAAATAAGACAGACAAGACTTCCAATAAAAATAGCAATTATATAAAATGCGATAGTCTTAAAATGTGTTTTACTACCCTACCATTCCCCGTAACTTATAGTTTCCCATAAAACCCCCAGCATTTTTGAGGACATTGTAATGTACTGTCACAGCTATAGCAACCTAATTCCACTTTCCTTCGTGCTGGGTTTCTACGTGGGCATTATTATAGAGCGCTGGTGGAGTCAGTATATCACGGTTCCTTGGCCCGATCCTTTGGCTGTTTATGTGAGTGCCCTAGTTCGTGGGCAGGATGAACATGGTCGTCTGATGAGGCGCACAATCATGAGATATGTTTGCTTGGCCCTGACAATGGTGCTATCGATGATATCCCCCGTTATAAAGCGACGTTTTCCCACCTACGATCAGTTGATTGAAGTGGGTCTTCTAAACGCTAACGAAGCGAACATTATAAAGGCAATGGATGCGAAGTTTCCGAAACATCCCAAGTACTGGATGCCCATCGTCTGGGCTGCCAGCATTGTGACAAGGGCCCGAAAGGAAGGGCGCATCTGGGATGACTTCTCACTGAAATCCATGATTGACGAACTGAATAAATTCCGAGCCGGTTGCAATATGCTAATCCATTATGATACTATATCTGTTCCACTGGTCTATACGCAGGTAAGTCTATTATTATTTGCATATATTATTTACCAAGCAAACTTTTTCAGGTCGTAACTCTGGCCGTCTACTCCTACTTCGTTGCCTCAATTTTTGGCCATCAATGGATTGATCGGGATGTTAAGCACTACAATAATATTGTTAGTTACTACTTTCCACTGTTCAGCACTTTGGAGTTTTTCTTTTTTATGGGATGGCTAAAAGTGGCCGAAACCTTGATTTGTCCCTTTGGAGATGATGACGACGACTTTGAACTGAACTGGCTGATCGATCGGAATCTGCAGGTCAGTTACTTAATCGTCGATGAGATGCACAACGATCATCCCCAGTTGGTGAGGGATCAGTATTGGGACGAGGTCTTCCCCAACGAACTGCCCTATTTGGTCGAGTCTGAGAGGGCCGAACATCCAGAGGCCTCTACCGCTCGATTGGGTATTCCAAAAATCAATCCCGTCCACTCAACGAAGAGTGAGGTAAGTTTTGAGAACGACTTTACGGAATTCGACGACGAGGACGAGACCAAGGACGAAGTTACCATCCGATTTGCCCGTCGCGAGTTTAGTTGGAGCAAGAGTTCCGTATCGATAACGTACTCCTCGGGGAACCAGAGTGTAGATACCCTGAGTTTTGACGACAAAGGTGGCGAGGAGATGGAAAACGAGTTGGACTCAAAAACTTTGGATTCCAGCAGCAAGGACGACTTCGATCGACTGCGGGAGTCGAGGGAAAGGGAGCGTGTCAACCGGCAGATGCAGCATGCCGCCCTCGCGATGGAGTTGATGAAGGGAGACCTGGGCTCAAATGGAGGATCGGCATCGGGATCTAGGACTAATGTCCCGAAGAAAGAATCTGAGGTTCAGACCGACATGAGCTACACCAGCCAAAGAAAGAAGGACAAGGATAAGGACAAAGACGCTGACAAAGACGCTGACAAAGAATAAAAAGTAATTAAAAGAATAATATGTATTGTAAATTAATTTATGAGAAAACGACGAGGATAATAAAAATTGATTCTTTCAAAATGTATCATTTATAAATCAAATAGTTTAGATGTCCTTGTTTATAAGTGGGTTTTTTTCCGGTTATTCCTCTCCATTTTAATCTTTCTTTTCTGCCTTACTTAAAGAGTCGTTCTCACTTGAAGGGTCCTGCTGAGATTCTGCGGCTTCCTGGTTTTCAGATGAAACTTCCTCAGACGCAGGACGAGGGACTGTAATTGTGTAGAAAGTACCCGAATTATCGTGGCGAAGATGGACTTTCATATCTAAGAATCGATGGCGGGTACGCTCCTTGCGTTCTCGACGACGCTGCTCAACTAGCTCATAGAAATCAACTGCAAATAAGGGGTTTTAATAAGTTTCAATATACTAATAGAGTGCCACTCACTGGATTGCGAAGGCCTACTGGTAAAAGGACGGTCTTGGTCTTGGAAAGGACGGTCGTTCATTTCTAAGAAATCCAAGTAGCTTCCGCTAGTTGATGATTTTCTTAGTAGGTTCTGGTGGATGTTAAAATATACAATAAAGTATTAAAATACAATTATTCTTAGGTAAACTTAAAAACCGTTTACAGGGGTGAGTAAATATACCTTTTGTGGTACTTTCATATAGGAAGTCGATGAAGCTGGAGGGCCTGTGCGCTTGCTTGTAATATTGTAGGGAATTTCATTGGGAAAAACCTGTTCCCAGTACTGATCCTTAACCAGTTCAGGATGCTCCTGGTGCATCTCATCCACAATGCAATAAGCGACAGTTAGATTCCGGTCGATAATCCAATTAAGCTAAATAGAGATAAAATAGTAATAAATAAATAGAACCAATCAAAATTCGAAGGAATATAATTCATATATATATCTTTTAAGCTACCTCAAAATCATCATCATCCTCTCCGAAAGGATTGATCAACGACTCTGCCACCTTGAGCCATCCCATGTAAAAGAAAAACTGAAGAATGGTTAGGAAAGGGAACCACCTGAGGACACTCAGACCTTGTTGAGTGCTATTTTCCGTCCATTGTTGTCCAAGAGCGCTGAAGAGGAAAAACGAGTAGGTGGCCAGGGTGACCACTTGGGTGTAGACCAGTGGAACAGTTACCCAGTCGTAGTAGAGCAAAAATCCACAGCGACCTCGAAATTTGTTGAGCTCATCCATGATCGTCTTAACTGCGTAATCATCCCGTATTTTGCTCTCCCTCCTTGCTCTCATGACAATACTTCCTGCCCAAACTATGGGCATCCAGTGTTTTGGATAATTTGGAAAGGCCTGATCCATAGTATCAATAATCTTCTTTTCATTTTCCAGTAAGAACCCAGCCTCAATGATTTGATTATACGTGGGGAATCGACGCTTCACTCGCGGCGATATCATGGTGAAAACCATCACCTGACACAAGCAGACATATCTTAGGATTGTTCGCCTCATAACGCGGGCTCTATCATCGGATCCATGGATACTGGTGCTGACCAAAATGGCAATCCCATCTGGCCAAGGAATGGTGCTGTATTGTTCCCACCAACGCTTCATTACAATCGTTACATAAAAACCCATCACGAACGACAGGGGGATAAGAGCTCCATTCTTCATGCAATAGGAAGCAATATCCTCAAAAAACCTGTAGGATTATTAAAGCTTGTTTTACTATAGAATTTGATTTAAAGAGGTTTACCTTTTGCCCTCATCGTTGATCAACATGCGATATGTAATCGCTAGTAAGCAGTACAGTCCAAAAAACAATATGAGATCGACCCAAATCAGCTTGTAAATACTGCCACGCCATCTTTTAATTATAAGTTCGGAATTTTTCACGAAATTTTATAAAGTTGATTTATTACTTGCCTGATCAATAATCTAAGAAAATTGTTAACTACACCTGAGGTATTAACGCTGGATGTATAAGTCACAGTCATGATTGAACAATATGAACTAATGCCCAAATTTTATAAGTTGACAGGGAACCTGGTTTGACAGAAAAATTCAAGGGATCTAACATATTTATTATTTTTTAGAAATCATTGAAGAAAAAGGTGTCGCTGTTAAGTTGATAAGAATTAAATACAGGATCACTTTTCTATTCTAATTTGGATACCATGTTCACCTCTTTTGAAAAGAAGTATGAAGTGTTATTTAAATTTCACCAATTTAAACCAACCTTTTAGAAAATAAACTTAAAAATAATTATTGTCTTTGGTACCTATTTAAATATTTGGATTTATTTTAAAGCGAATTTTCCTGAAGCTTATGAAAGGTTCCATTGAAAGCGGGATTCTAATCCATTTAAAATTAAGCTGACATATCACTTAAATTGAGCTCATTATTTCTTATTCCTCATCCCCCTAATCGTTCTTTTCTAGTTTATTTTGTGGGTTAGCCTTGGACGAAGGGTCCTGTTTGGTTCTGTCTCCCGCTTCTTGACTTTCTGATAGAGTTTCATCGGACGGAGGACGAAGAACTGTGACCGTATAGGGGGCACCGGTATTATCATGACGGAGATGGGTACTTCTCATGTCCAAAAATCGGTGGCGCATTCGTTCCGTGCGCTCACGACGACGCTGCTCAATAAGAGCATTGAAATCAACTGTGAAAATACGATTTTTAGTTAAAAGATTAAATTTAAAAATGATCTTAATGAAATAGAAGGTCCGACTCTTACTTGTGGATTGAGAAGGTTTACGAGAGCTATGCAAATCTTGCTGCTCCATAGTAAACTGACTTTCACTGAAGGTCATTCGAGATGATCCATCGTCCATTTGGAAGGAGTCTGAGTAGCTCCCAGTAGCAGATGGTCTTCCCAAGAAGTTCTGCTTAAAGCTGTTCCGTAGACGGTTACTGCGGGTACTACTACGGCGACTAGGATTACTAGGATTACTTATAGTCGAAAGTCCCGATCCACGGGGTCTCTGGAGTTTCAAAAGAAGACATTTTTGTGTAGCTTTTAAATTGGTAGTTAAAAACTTAAAATAACTTTACCCTCTGGGTTTCCATATACGCAGTAGAAGCTTCCGGAGGGTTATGTCGCATAGTTGGTATAGCATAGGGAATTTCATTGGGAAACACCTCTTCCCAGTACTGATCCTTAACCAGTTCCGGATGCTCCTGGTGCATCTCGTCCACAATGCAATAAGCGACAGTGAGGTTCCGGTCGATAATCCAATTAAGCTGTAGTTAAGTTTAAGTTATAAGCCATTATAAAATATTCAAAAAATGTAAAATTGCGGTAAGAGAAATAATAAAATGTGATCTTACCTCAAAGTCGTCATCATCCTCTCCGAACGGGTTGATCAAAGTCTCGGCTACCTTGAGCCAACCCATGTAAAAGAAAAACTGGAGAACAGTCAGGATGGGAAACCACCTCCTAATACTCAGGCCTTCCTTATCTGAGGCGTTTTCCATCCACTGCTGTCCGAGGACGCTGAACAGGAAAAAAGAGTATGTGGCCACGGTGACCACTTGGGTGTATACCAACGGAACACTGATCCAATCGTAGTAAAGCAAGAATCCACAATATCCGCGAAACTGGTTCAGCTCATCAATGATCGTCTTAACGGCGTAATCATCCCTGATCTTATTCTCCCTCCTGGCCCTCATCACAATACTAGCTGCCCAAACGATGGGCATCCAGTGCTTCGGATAACTTGGGAAGGCCTGATCCATGGTCTCAATGATCTTCCTTTCATTTTCCAGCAAGAACCCAGCCTCAATGATTTGATTATACGTGGGGAATCGACGCTTCACTCGTGGTGATATCATGGTAAAAACAAGCACCTGGCACAAACAGACATATCTTAGGATCGTTCGCCTCATGACGCGTGCTCTATCATCGGATCCGTGAATACTGGTGCTAATCAAAATTGCAATCCCATCTGGCCAAGGAATGGTCGTGTACTGCTCCCACCAGCGCTTCATCACAATTCTCACGAAAAATCCCAACACGAAGGATAGTGGTATTAGGGAACCGTTTACCTCGCAATATGTTATAATGGCTTCGAAAAACCTGTGGCATCAACTATTATTTCGGCACAGAATACAACTTAATTCAACTCACCTTTTGCCCTCTTCATTTATCAACAACCGATATGTAATGGCCAGCAAGACGTACAATCCAAAGAAAACAATAAGGTCCAACCATATTAACTTGTAAATGCTGCCGCGCCATCTTCGAAGTGAGTATAATATTAGGGTATTTTAGGGGAAGAAGAAAACTTTTAGTACTAACCTCACCAGCAAGCCCAAGAAATTACTGACGACATTCGATGTGCTTACACGTGAGGTGTAAGTCACAGTCATGATGGAACAATCTAGTTGAATGAATTCTAATCGTGTATAAAACAGGCAAAACAAAAGTTGACAGTCTAAGCAAAGTATATTTTTCTTTAATAAGAATTTATTTTATTTCTTGAATTTATATTGGTTTAAAACAATTTAGAGTATTTCAACTCAATGTTTTTATTTTCTGAAGTGAAAAATAACAAAGACGAAAAATTGAAACATTACAATGGAAATCAAAAGACATGATTAAAAAGGTGTTGGCAGAACATCATTGTTACTTTTTTGTTTCCCTATCCAGGTATTTATTCCCCTCCCTCAAAGGTATTTCGTGGATAATTTTATTTATTCTGAAAACCATTTCCATTGAGTTTTTATGTTATACCCAGCGATTGAAAAAATAAAGGTGTATAGTAATGTGGTTGAGGCCAATCCAAGTCAAGCCCATTTCTTTTAAGTAAGCACATGTAAAGACGTCAAAAAATGACTAGTGAGTACCACGCAGTCGTATCTCCATTTGGTAGCTATTCCTTCTTGTTTTTATTTACCCTTTCAAGACCTCCCGCAGGAATTGCGAATCGATTTCATTGCTTCCTGTGACAAAGATTGCCTTTGATGCGTTAAGACAATACGTACAGTTTTGTGAATCATTTATAAACCACAATACCCATGTGCTTGTGTCATGTGCCAGAAAAGTCCTTCCTGACAGCGGCAAAACCACATGAGCAGCGGCTGAAAAAAAGGATATCCAACGGGCTCTCATTGTGCCTTCCATTATCATAACCAAACATGGAAAATCTGACGCGATGCGTGTTATTATTTTTTACACTTGACAGCATTTTCTGCGCTGGAAAAATCGCGACAAAAACGAAATGAAATTACATTGGCAGCTCACCATGCGAGAATGGAAAACTATGGCGACTTTTTATTATACAACATATTTAATGCTCAGATTGAGGGCGGCTGAGGGTAAAATAATTCCGATTCTGCTCGCCACTTAACTCATTTGGGGCATTATGGGGGCTTGTTTTTCCCCAGCGTCCTTACTGCTGTTTCCAATTTATAATTGCGGATCGATATGTTGGCACTAAAGTGGTTTCTCTTTTTGTAAATGTGTTAAATGTAAGCAAGTGCTGAGAGAGGGATAATATCTGATTGGAGGTTACTCTTAAAGTAATGGTATTTTAGTTTTTATTTTATTTTATACATGGGTATACATACTTTTTGATTAACAATGCTATTGATTGTAAGTATTTATTTATAGCTTACGCCGTTCGGTTTTAATTAAAATGCACTACATAATGCACTTTTTAAAAGATTTATAATATAAATTTTTTGTAAAATAATTTAAAATACCGCAGATAGGTCTATAAAAATATGGTTAAAAGCATATCATATTTTTGAAAACTTTCAAATCCAAATTGAATTAAATAAGGAAATAAGCCATTAACCATTTCTAAAGGTACTCACCTGCATGTCAAATAATTAATAATAATAATTATTAAACGGTCTGATCTCAAGAGAATGTGTTAATAGTAAATTTATTGTACATATTGTACCTAAAAACGTATACAAATACAAAATAAATTTAATTTTTACAGCCAACAATGGGTTAAAATTGTACCCTTTTCTGTGTACTTTGTTCTTCAATTTATTGTTCTTTTTTATATTGTAGTCAAGTGCCTTAAAACGTTTAAAGTCGTCAGCTGGACCTGACTAATTGGCCTTCCCATCATCAAGTTGGTCATCCGACCAAAGGCCGTAACCGATTCGCAAAAGCCCCATGTCCTCGGCAACAATTCAGGCAGATATGTGGCCATAAATATTTCATATTTGCACATCGCGTAGTTTGTGTTTTGTCGCCTGCTGCTCCTGATTGATGACGCGGTTGAGGATTGCAGATGCGGATTTTCGTCCTCCGATATTGGGGGAGCACAAAAAAGGGGTTAATTTAATTTCGCGCTCGGGCGAATTTGTCCATAATTGGCAATTAGCATTGACCATTGCCATATACATATTCGCCGGCGAAGCCATGGCAATCATCGCCGTGCTGGCCATCATCTCACACGGTCAACTTACAGCGTGGCCAGCAGAAGTCCGTTTGCAGTTCAGCATTTGCCCACTGGCAACCAATATTTGCCTCATGGTTGTTTCCGCTGGTGTTGTTTTTTGTGACCATTTTTCAAAAAGTGCACACAAAAAAACTGCCAGAATTATTGAGGCGTTGCCACAATAATCATCGATTCGATCTCCCTGTCAATGAATTTACGGTGCTGAAAATATTGATAGAAACGATGTTCCATTTATGATGGGAATTTGCGATAGATTGAGCTTGCAACACACAAAAAAGATGTACAAGCCCCTTGTAGATGCTGTGGAATATTTGTTCTGAGTCGAGCTAGGGTTAAATCATTATATCCCATTTTTACTTCTGCAGATTTAATCCATAATCAATTCAAAAATGGCCTAAATAAAAAATTAACAGTACCTACGTTTCTATCCATCACTGTAAATTGTTGCATTGCCTGATTGCAGCTGCTCTGCGTCGTTAATTGCAACACAGTCATGCAAAATGCGTTAAATGCGAACTTTTTGCTAGAATTGGGTTGGGGTTTCCCCAGTGTTTTTCACACCATTTTTCAAAGTCAATTTCGGATGAGTTTTAATGCGACCTTTGGGATAGCGCATTATGTTTTTTAT